CGGAAGAGAAAGAGTCGGGGGCTAACCTGGGGACAGAGAGGTACTCTAGTGGGAGAAAGAATATTTTCTGTGGAGTGTTTGGGGAAGTTGGAGGCGTTGACCACGGGGGTTTTACTAGACTAACAGTGACGTGGCACAAAGTATATGTGTGTAAAGGGACGGGTTTATTTACGGCTTCGTGTATTTTACCCACCTGGCTGCAGAAAGAGCTTTTTGCAGCCACAACGTGAGTTGAAAGTCAGAGAAAGGCTTGTGAGAAAGATTCCTGTTTGAAAAGCTGTCTCCACCGGACAGGCACTGGGGCGGCTGTTTTTTTCCAATCAGAATGAGGCCCCAAGGGAGGCAGGTTTGGGCCTAGCCCAGGTCAGAGCTGGGATGGCCTTCATTCCCGGCTGTGAGCTCCTGGCTCTGGGCAGCTGGCCCACAGGGTGGGGAGAGAATGGCCGGCTTGGGGGGAGTAGGGGGGTCAGGCCTGAGGACAGATAGGAGGACTGATGGGGTCAGTCATCGACAGGCTTGCTTCTTCCTGGGGCAGAGCAGCGAGAGGGCAGGCAGCTGGCTGGACCCCACCCACTGCAGGGTAGGGCGTGCCCCAGGAGCCTCCAGTTACACTGCTGTTTCCTGGGAGGGCTGCACCCAGTGTCAGATCCCCCAGAGCGGGCTGGGCTCCTCAATCGCCGTCATTAGCCAGCAGGATCAAGGCCTCTGTGTTGAACATAGAGTCAACGAAGGTGTGTGTCTTGTGCCAGTAGGGGCGGTGCCAGACTTGGGCCACTTCTTGAGGTCACTGCAGGAGCTGGCAGCACTGGGCACCTTGATAGAGAAGGTGGGGCAGACATTGCTTTGAGCTGGAGCCTGGCCTGACCTGCGGTCTCCGCTTCCTTGGAGCCCCCGCCTCAGCAGCCAGGAGTGACCTGCCTGGGCTCCGTGCCCAGATTTGTCTTCCCCTAAACCTGGAGCCCAGTGGTCAGTGTCTGGCACCTTCCCTTCCCCATCCCAATACGGAGAAGCAGGTTAGCTTGGTTCCTGATCTGAGCGCTGTGTTTTGGCAGCATAAGCTAATTCTGGGGCTCAGAGCGGGGGTTCCAGGTTGGATCAGTAGCTCCAGGTAAAATCAGGCACATAGACAGGAAGTATTGACTTTGGCCCTGTTAAAAGAAATGGAAATGGAAATCAGGCCTGAAGAATCGCTACGAAGACAGAGCCAGTTAGTTCTCATAAGTGACCTCAGCCTTACTTCATCAGCAAACATAAGTGAAACTTGACTGGGGTAATTTCTGATAAATATGTATGTTAGACAGAAATCAAACTTAATTCCAGCCAATCGTAAGTGGCTAACTAACATAGAATGATGTGACGAGGGACTTTCCAGTAAGGTACCAGTAAAGCAGTTTGGGCCAGCCACAGTGACGCAGCAGAAATGCAATGTTCCATGGTTCTGAGGCCGTATGGGAAGGTCTGTAGTTCATATCCTGAGCACTCTCGGTGCACTCCGATCACATGCCTGTGAACCAACCGGCTGGAGCAGGCAGTGGGATCACAGCATGAAAACACCTTTGGGGCCGTTCCTTTCTATCTCTCTCTCTCTGCCAAATCCCCCATCTCATCACTGGAAGAAAAAAAATAACTAGACAGGAAAAAAATGCAATCTTGGGCCCAGCCAGGTGGGGTGTTGCCAAGATATTATGCTTTATAGGCTGGTACCACACGGGAGGCCCACATTCTACTCCTGGTCTGTCCTAAAAGCCACGTGCCCTGGTGTGTGCATTTTTTTTTTTTT